CCATCATGACTTTATATAAAGCATCCGTGCTCCAATTCTGTAAGAGAAGTAGTTCTTCATTCCTGTGAAATGATCAGGAGCTGAGATCACAGAGTATTTTAAAGGGTGCTGCACATGTGACAATGGGATTTAAGCATCCATTAAGAGCTGCACTGAAGTGCTTTTCTGAGTCTGGGCTCTAAAAGACCACTGAGCTCTGCAAGGGCTTTAACACACCATTTTGTTGTCAACATATGCCTGCCCAGTTTTGTCCTATTTTATTCTGGATGTTTTTTTAAAGTTTAAGACCTGTTTTCAAACAACTGTGGAGTAATCAAACTGTAGTTTCAAATGTGCCTTTCTCTCGGGAGATAATCATCATAGTCTAAAGGTTAGGTCAAGAAAGAAATTCCTCTTTTAAAGAAAATGTGTTTTTCCCACACAGAAGCCAAAGGCAAAGGCTGTTTGAACGATATCACATGCAGTTTCCATAAAAACTGTATGTTTTCTCCTTTTTCAGGATGAGCCTGAACCACACCCACACTGGGGAGTGAGTATCTCTGGATGTTTGACAAAGGGGATATATGCTGAAACAGTTTGAGACTCTTTTCATGTAACAACTATATTCACTATTTCTGCTTGCTAAAGCCCTACACTTATTGCTGAGCACTCCTGTTGACAGAGGATAAAAAAAGAAAAAAATGCAAAAGACGCATTTTGAGATGACAAATAATAACTGTGAATCACTCAGAGATGAAATTTTATACTTCACTTACCAGCTCCTAAAATACAAGAGTGGATTTTTTACCTAGGACGCCACAACCAGTTGAATTGGAAAGTGGCATTGAAAACTGAAAGCCTATACTTCATAGAACAATTTACAGCACTGAAAAAATACATGAACTTCTGATCTTTAGAAAATGTATGTGCCTTATTCCTGGACTGAAAACATATCAAAGAAAACCAGAGGGGATTCTTGGAAACTCTCTGCAAACTACCTTTTCCCTGAAGCCAGTTTTAAATGTCAGGATTTTTTTAGGCTATTGATTGTGCTACAGTACTGAAACAACAACAAAACATGATGCTGGGTTCTCACATTTTCACCTAACTTATTAAAATGGTGCTTTTGGAAGCATAATGAAATAATTCTCAGTCAGAATATATGAGTTGAGCAATGAGAATCCAACCAATGGATAATCAACTCCAGACAACAGGAATGACAATACACGAAGATAATGATGAGGATTTTATACTATCACTTACTCCCTTCTACACAACTCTCTTGAGCTCATGTTGAACTTTTGGTCCATTCAGTATGAACTGAATCACCAGTGGTTCCACTCTGGCCTGTTAAACCTCACTTTACCTTTAAAGACTTTCTCAAAAGTGCAGAAAAAAATGCATTTAAAGAAGACCAGTGACATAACTAATAACTCCCACTTTAGTTCAAAGCCTTTTGTCTATTATGAATGTCACACACTTAGGAAGATCTAATCTGAAATTTATCTATGTTTTATTCATAAAAAAGCTGCCTGGAATGTAAGAAGAAATGCATGATTGCACTACCCCAATCAAAACTCGTATCCAAAAACCATCTCAGTTTAAAAGTCCTCCTTGCCAACACATCTAAGGGTGGCACTGGTGCTGGGCAGAGTGCTCGAGGCAGCAGTGGGATCTCTGTCTCTGGCAGCTCCAAAGCAGCGCAGGGTTGGTGCTCGGTAATGCGCTTTAGCGGGCACGTGGCAGCACTGGGGTCACGGCTGCACTCACACAAATACCAGAGGTTTTTCCCAACCTTAATGATTCTAGGATTTGATGATGCTTAGATGGTTTGGGGAGACATTTTTCCTTTTTAGAAGTTGTTTATTAATTTCTGTTGTTTTTATTACTATTACTCCTCTTATCATTAACGCACTCATGTGCACAAGCATATTGCTGACTTGGATCCTGTTAGTTCACCATACAGTAAAAATATTTTTTTCACTATCTCATGAATGAACAGAAGCCCACCTAATGGGCCTATTTCAGTCAATTAGTTTGCTTCCATTCTTCACTCCAATCAGTAAATGCTGACTGCAAAAAGCTCCTGTGGGAGCACAGTAACATAGGAAAATATACAGTATCATCTAGTCTTCACATAGTATACTTCAGTGTTTGTTCAATCACAAACATCTCTTCTACAATGACTGCATCTGAAGCAATGGGATCACTAAGAAATTAGATATAACGTGGAAAACCCTTCTTTTTCACTGCATGTGGTATTTATCCATGCCAAGCAATACTTATGTTAAACAGTAATTATGTGACAGACTACATGTCTGTGAGGGCTGATCTAATCTTTGCTATCTAATCTCCAAAGCATTTGGGCAAGAGTCAACCTGCAATGTGCTAAGGACACCAGCACAAGAGGTTGGTTATACATAGCCCCTTACACTAAAGAATTTCAAAATCATTTTGAAAGGTGAATGCTATTGCGTACAGCTAGTCTAACAATTTTAAACACTATTTCTCTCCCTAAATATTTTTTTACTTTTCATCCAAGAAGCCTCCCCTGCTACAGTCACTAAAACAATTGATTATATATTTATACACCAAGGTGCATCTGGCCTAGCAATTTCCAGCAAGTCATTATTAACTGTTGACTTCAAAATCACTCAAAGCGCGGTGCTCACCAGGTCATTCTGACATTTTTCAATATAAGCTCCCCTTTCCTGCTTTCCTTTCACCTCTGGCAAATCAGCACTTCTACCATGGCTGTCCATGATGACTGGAAAACACTTTCCTAAGATCTGGTTCTAGCCACCCAACCTCCAGCCCAGTTTTACTGTCAGCAAATCCATCCTTCAGACAGTCAAACCAATCCCTTTTCTCCTCTCTCCCCACTTATGTTGTCTTTCTCACAACCCAGTGATTGGCATTTAAATTATCTTCTTTTCCAGTACTATAAACACCTAGAAAGAAAGCCTTACCTGGCACTGAAAATGGAGTTAGACTGTCCTGTTCGTTTTCCTCCACTTGGTTTCCCACAGGGATGTTTCCATTTTCGATATTCTCCTGTCTCCTGTTCTGAAGTGCTTTGCTTGAGCCATTGGCAGACTGGATTAGCCGCTGACGCTGCGGGGTCAAAACACAAAACTCCCACAGTTCAGAAAGTATTTACTTTGCAAAATCCGAGTTTTGCTCTCTGTCCAGCCCCAGTCACACAAGCCATTGAATTTCTCCTCAAAGCTTTCCTTGCAGTCAACAACAAACATATTGACTGGCAGTGGCCTACCAGTCCTCATCAGGATTCACAAGATTAACCGCCCACTTCAGAATTACTGGCAGGAATCTTCAAGCCATGAGGGAGAATGTTGTAATATCTGTTGTTCCACACCATGTTTAACACCATGTTTTAACCAATGTAGTTATTCTAAAGCACTTCTCATTCAAGAGCTCTCACTCAAACCAGCAATAGCACCTTAATCAAATGGTAACACTGAAGACATCTCTGCACAATTAGAGTTGGCTTATGAATGACTCATTATCCACAAGCTCTCCTTCTCAGATCCAACTCTTCTCCCTCCTTAACTCCATTCATTGAGGTAAATTTGAACTTCTATTTTTAATTTCAAAAGCAAGACTAATCCCTGCTGCCCTTGTCCAAGTACATGAAGCTCATAATTGGCCCTGCAGACATGTATAAGAACTGCTGCCATCCAACACAATACAGTATCAAGACTGCTGCTCTCCAACACAACAGTATCAAGAGATAACTCAAACAGTCCAGGGCAAATTCCCCTCATGAAAATGTTTGGGGCCATTTTTGAGGACTACAGTGAATACTAAAGAGTATTCTCCTGATCCTGAAGTGTTAATAATACAAGAGCAGTTTTTAAGCATTTTGGTTGCCTTGTCAATTATCCCTTTTTTTAACCTGACCACTTTTGTAATAATCAAAACCAGTTCTTCTGCTATAAATAAAATCTAAATGTGCACATATGCACATACACACACTGAAATAAACATCTTCTGTTAGGGAGATAAGGTAGTCCCTCCTTTTTGACAGCCCTCCCATTAAAACAGGCAGCATCATCAGCTGGGAATCAATCTTCAAATCTGTTCTCATATACCTGCTTGAGAAAGACACAGCTCTATCCCAATGCAGGAACATGGCAGAATCTGAATTCCAGAATCACGATGAGCACAGCTCTTTGGTAACCCCTCTGCCTCATGGTCATTGTCTGTTTTCCTAATGAACATACCTCGTTAATGATGAGTCGGCTTGCCATCCGCATTCTGGTGCGTGGTCCGAATTTATTCGTAATCATAATCCGTAATCCAGCTTCAGGGAACCGGTACTTGGGAGGACTGGAGCAGATGATCTCATCCACCATCACAACACTGTTTTTGCCATACTGCTGTATCCCCTTCACTAATGATCACAATGGACAGAGTTAGCAGTGTAATTGACCTTACCATGTGTCCCATCCTCCAGAGTCAGGTCTCATCAGGCTCAGGTGGGGGAAATATTAATCTGAATTTATGAGTTACTTTCCTTTAATATTTATGCAGCCTGGTGAATCTCCTCATCAGTTGTGTGCTTTGTTTAGATCACATGCTGGAAAGAGATTTCACTCTACTAAGGTAGCCACCAAGCCACTGTCAGGTTAGTGGGAGCAGTTTTTCCCCAGCTGCTCATGATGTAGTACCAGTTTTCTTTGCTTATGTCCCACTAGAGTTTTGTACCCCTTCTCTAGAAGTGCTTGAACTGCCGCAGTGTAGACAGCACTCCTGAAACCTCTAAAGCTATTCCACTGGATCAAGGTGCTGCACATCCAGAAGGTCCTAATGTTGTGCTCACTCCTTCTGGAAATCTTCACTTTACCTTCACATAATATTTCCAGTATCTCTCACATGAAAAGATTTGAAATGATGAAAAACAATTGTCAAGAACAAATCTATGCTATAAATAAGCCTTTGCTAATATAAAGGAACCCGTACCAAGTGTAAGATTACAAAGTTAACAAAGTTCTACCATGTTAAGAACCCGTAGAGACGAAATTTTATTTGGAATCAACACAAGTAGAGGCAAGGACTTCAGAAGCTCACCGACAAACCAATATTCTCACAAATGCTACAGACTACACATAGCAAGCAGAGCAAGGCTCAGCAGACAGGAGACATACCCATGTGGTGTTAGAAAGCAGGGCAGAAAATACATACATGACTATAATAAATATTAATTGCTACATATAATAATAGATACAGAAAAACAAATTATTTGCTGCTCATTTTCTGCTTTGCTTAGCTTGGCCTCCCCCTCTCCCTCCCCTTTTGCATTGTTACTTACATTAGGAAGAGGAGGAGAATTTAGGAGGTAGAAGTGAAAGATAATTAGTGCATGGTTCCAGTCAGGAAGCAAGGGAAATCTAAGAAAATATTCAACTCAAACAATGGAATTAAAAAGGACCTGTTCTAAACACACAGAAGCCTATATTGTTACTCTTTCACATTGATACAGTGTTGAAATATTTTTGTTTTTCAGGAAGACTGGATCCATGCATGCATCCAAGTCACATCATGCAATAAAGGCTTTGCTGTCTCAAGCATCTTCTAGCATATTTGCAGTTGAAGAAATACATCCTCCATAATGATTCAACAGGAAAAACCAGCAATCCTGTAAATCACCAGTAGACATCTGTAACTTTTACCCTTCAGCATCTGAGTGTCTTGCCCTGTTTCACTAAAATGGGTTCAGTGAGTACATGGGGTCACCTGCAGTGTCATAAATATAAGATCTCTGGTTTCACAAAGAATGTGGTCTACTCAAATAAAACACTCTGCACTCTTGCTTGCAGCTTAACATCTCTAGTACAGAATAGAAGTACTAGTAATTTTACATTTGCTAAATGTAAAGGAGCAATTATCCTCCTCCATCCCAGCACCTAAACCAAATTAACCTCTCTGAATACTGTGGCTGATGATGCAAATAAGGAGCACATCCACTCCAGTGACCCTTGGAGTGCAGCAGCGTTTCTGTGAAGTAATACTCAGCCAGACAGGTTTCCCAGGAATCAGTCCTCACTGAATAGGAGTCAACCACATAAACATAACATTTGCTTCAGTTGAAGTGAAAGAAATGTTTGACAACAATGCTGGTAAGGCAAAAAGACCAGATATTAACAGTCATATCAGATTAACTGCTCCCACGTGAGCTCCTCCAAAGAATTAACCAAAATGCTTCATCTTACAGTGACATGAAAAACGTGGAAGCACTGAAGTTACTCTGAATCTGTTTCTTAGAGCCCTAGGAAGACAGTGAGAAAACACTCAGCTTTGATTAAAGTACCATAATCAAAAACTCAGTGCTGATATAGAATACCTCATGCTAAAAAAACATCTAAGTAATTGCAGCTATTCTGACTTACTGCAGCACATTACTCATTATTTTCATGATTTTCAGTTTGACTCCCTGTGCCTGTAAAAATACGTATCTTACCCCATATAGTATGGACTCCACCTAAAAGTTGTTTTAAGAAATGTGAAGAGGAGAGAATAGTTTTGCACTTCTAATCTGTGATAATTCTTTAAAAAAAAAATCTGAGAAAAGCTTTTCTTTCCAACAATCCTTCTGCTTACCACCAAAGGTTCATCACCAACAGCCCTGTCAAAATCAACAGAAAGCTTCTTGATGTCTTTAGCTCTGAAACCTGGTCCCTCAGAAATTCACTTTTGTCCAGAATTTCTGGTTTCAGGCAGGGGTCAAACCATGCCACCTGGTGGAAATTTGGGTCAACATAATAAAAGTCAAGGGTAACACAAATTTGTACTTTGAAAATTGGAGTAGTATTCACAAACTACATCTATTTTGCCTTTACCTGTGTTTGCAGAACTCACCCTCGAAATGAAATTTTTCTTATGGTGAAATCTGTCTTTTTTCTTTCTCAAACTTGAGTGATGAAAATATTTTATATTGTACCACAGGAAGCCCTTGAAAGTAATGAACCTTACAAGCATAAAAGAGCTTTACAGTGTGTCCTAAACCACTACACAGTGTTACACCTTTTACCTGCACCCTGAGCAACACTATCCTTGCTAGAAACAAAGTTCCTCACCCAAAGCAACTGTTCCTTTATGGGAAGTAATTGGGTTTTCCTCCTGTGGAAAATCAGATTAAGGTTAAACCTACACTTTGGTGAAGCCAAGAGAGGTTTTCTGGTGGATCCTAAACACTGCTAACCAGTGGTTGAAAGCAAGGCAAAGAGGCCAGCCCCAGTTCTCTCCTTGCTATGAGCAGTGCTCCTTTCTGAAAGCTTCTGCTGGGGAAAATGCAGCTCAGCTTGTGAAGCCAGCATGTGTCAACTAAGAGGGAGCCACTGATGGGTCATGGCATATTTTGAGAGAACAGGAGAGAAGCTAGAGGCAGCCATGTGACAGTTTTCTAGGACAGCATCTTGACACATAAAGCAGTTAGGCTAACACTGCCATCCTCCCCTCCCACTGCTCACTCCAAATCCTTAATCTCTTCTTTCTGTACCTTCTCATCCCAGCCACGTTTGCCTACGACACTATCCACACTCCTGCTCTTTGAGCAATTGCCCCTCCAATGCAGTGTGTATTTGTGTAATAGGTGATGGAGAAGGCAAAGGGCATCTGACTGAAACTGCAGTATCAGGGCATCTTTGAGGGAAAATCAGAAAAGAAATCTGATGTGGACAGTTGCTGGTGGAGCTTCCTTGCTTCTTTCTCCATGTTCTTCACTAAGCATTGAATAATTTCCTTGAAAAGAAAACAAGTGGACAGGCAAGCACTCAGTGCCATTGCCTCTTTACCACAAGGGCTAGAGAGGAGAGCCTGCTGGGAGATGACCTCAGGACCCAAACTCCTAAAAAGTAAAAACCACTAATATCTGTGGTGTTCCATTGGATTACCCTTTTCCCATGTCTCCACTTGAGTACAGGAGGCATCTGTGGAACCTTGCATGGACACAAATCCACATCCAAGTGACAGACCTCATTATATGAGAGACAATGCTCCCAAAAGTTCATTATAAAATGAGAGGTATTTCAAAGTCACCATCTAGTTACGCTACAAGCTCATATGAACAATAATTTTAAATGAGTATTGTCTAATCACCTTATCTAGGACCAGAGCAGCAGTGTGCTGTCACTGAATAAACCTGTAGCTACCTATATCTGCCTTTAAGAAATCCCAGCCTAAACACCAAGAACAAAAAAGAGTGTGATTCTCTGAGTCTGCTCTAAGTTCCTGCTTGGCATTATTTGTTATTAAACGAGGATCTTTCCAATGCTACCAACATTGCTGATGAGCTCAGCCTCCTAGAATGGGAGATGTTTGTGAAGAACAGAGGAGACCTCACTTGTTAAGAGCAGCCCAAGTACTCATTAAATCACATGACTTGTGCTTTGAAAGTGGAGAGATTTGGCTCTACAGAGAAAAGAGAGAATGGCAGAGAAGAGAAATAAGACAAAGATGAAAACTGGCTTAGAAAACAAGCCAAAAATACTCAGGTATTTTTGCTTAATTTCAGTACCAGAAGCTGGATATCATCTTCTTTACTTTATGACAAAGACAGAAATAGCAAAGAACCTGCATTTTTTGATATTACATGTGTCTGCTGATGTATACAGACTATTTAGGCATGTGAAAACCAGTCTTCTGAGGATCTGAACCCAACATGTAACCCCTCTTGCCCACTGATCTGCCCCATCCTTTCCTTCAACATCCACATCTCAGCTTCTCATTCCAAATTAATTTTTGAAGTGAAAATTGCCTTCTTGGTAAAAGAAATGTAGTTCTTTCACAATCTTGTAGCTCATCACTGAACAGGAGACAAAAAGGGAGTAAAATTGCCAATGTGCAAAGCAGCTTGTTTTCAGAAAATTAAAAAAATTATTTCTTTTTTTTAATGTGGCAATCTGACAGCTGAATAATCAAGTTAACCCTGCTTACAATTGAATAGTGACACTGTTTTGATCCGCATTAAAGAAATAGAAAGGATATCCTGTGAGCTACTCTTTTTCCAAGTCCTGTCTGCTCAGCCTTACCTTTCCATAGTAATGGAATGGATGGGTCATCACAACTAGAGGCGTAACATTTATTACCATCTTCCAGCTCATTGTTGACTGTGTCACCATTTCCAACATTCTTGCTTTTAAGGGTGAAGAAATTTTGCATCCTCACGTTGTACCTGAAAAGGCAAAAGAAAGGTCTAAAAAGGTTGGATTTTTTTGCATTTTCTTGGCAAACTTTTAAGCCATCTGAGAACAATTTATTCAGGCAAGCAGTAAAGCCTAGTTGCAAATTCTCTGACAACTAACAGGAAGTGAAGAGAAAGGACTCTCCAACTCAATGGCAAGCTGATGGGAAAGCAAGGACTGCACCTATCTCTCCTATATCAAACTGCAAAGAGGCACTAGAGCAGATTTACTGAAGGCAAGATGCTGGAACTGTGGATTTTGGAGCCAGGACATTCACTATACAGCAGTTTCTTTCCTCCTGCATCAGCTCACAATTCACCTCACTGTTTCTTTCAGTACTGTGTTCCCTGTGGGAGGCTTTTGGGGCATTTCTGGGACTGCTGACCAAACCCTTCTAAAGACAGCATGTATCTATTTTAGCACTAGGGTGGTATCTAGGAGGACTGGCAATGAACTCTGCTGAGACTCGATGTAGGAGAAAAGGGAGTTCCAACAGGGTGATTTGTGAGGGTTACAACCAAGGGTTGTAAGTCTAAGCAACTTGCAATAGAAGGGTGGACTCACAGACACTTGCAGTAACAGTCAGACCTCTGACTCTCCTGTCAGAGGCAGTGACACAACAGAAGAAGATGTGAGTAAACAACCTGGTATGAGATAGTCTGAAGATAAATACATGCTTAGCACTCTGTCTAATGTTCCTTGACCTTGTTCTCCAGGGAGTACAAAGTATATGTAAAAGTTGACATGATGTGTGTTTACAATCCAGGGTACCCTGCAACCATTCATATGCCTTTGTATCAATGACATTTTTCTCAACTTTTTCTGAAAGCTACTTTACCTCTGTGCACTATGAAAAGGATACATGGAAGTATTTGTTGCTGATTGATCACAAACCTAGAATTAAAGTGGTTAAGCGTAGAACCCAACAGAACTTACACAGAATCACGACTGTGACAAGGACAAAACAAGACCGAAAGAATGATGGTCAGTTAGCATCCAAAGGACACAGTAAGAAGTACTTACTTCATGATAAGTATGTAGAATGAATACATAATGATGAGTACAAGGCTTTCCCACCTCAAAAAGACAGAAAGAAGTGTTAGAAGTCCATTCAAACAGCTGTACTCTTTACAAGTTTTATGTAGGGGTGTGCCTTAAGCATCTGGTGCAAGCCACATTTGCGCACACAGGACTCACATCATTAAGAATAGATGGTGTCTCAGCAGAATGAGAGGGGAAGCAGACTCCTGAGTTTCAATAAACATGCAAATAAAATGCAATGCATGTATTTCAGCAGTGTGCCATGCAGACTGAAACCACAGCTACTTTCTGAGGATTGCAACACCAAAGCCTTTCATCATTTCACTGCTGAAGCACAGGCAAGGCACTCTGAGAGCACTGTTGGAAGGTGCCTATGATCTACTAGGATTTACATTGGAGTGGTCTTTGGAACACCTGGCATCCCCATAAATGTTAACAAAGCAGAAGAGGTTTGGTTTCTCTCTCTGCACATGGGAATCTTCAGGCCTTACACAGAGTCTGTTTCCTGATTCTCACATTTTCTTTTAGTTTTCTGTGACCATCACAAAAACTAAGCCCAAACAAAAAACACATTTCCTATGTGTTCAATCCAGCTCATACTCCCAGTGTGTAGAATGAAAAGGAAATTACACTACAGCTGTATTTACTGATGAGCCTCATGGCAAATACAGGACTGCATGGAATTATTTACACAACTTACCATTCTATTTTCTCATCATATATGAACTAGAAGGAAAAAAAGGAAATATAAATTGACCATTTCTCTAATCTATCTCAAAAAACAACCAAATTTCTTCAGCAAGTATCAGCCATATCTAGACAGACCTACTCAAGTTTTGACCCTCTCTAACAAGAACTTCCACTGTATGGATTGTGCCCCTCACAAAACACAAACCTTGTGAACAAGGCCTGTTTCAAGTACTGTTAAGGGAAACGGTGCAAACATGTGAGAGACAGATACACACTCATGTACCTACATGCTATGGTGTGCAAATGACAGCAAAGTCACTTATTCAAAAAAAAACTTGATTCTTTAGTGCTTCTAACAGCTGGACTAGTTTTAGCAGAACAGGCAGCCACTTCTCCTCTTGGGTCAAGTGGTTACACACATTTTACTGCACCCTGTGTAACTGCTGTTACTGAATACACAGCTAGTGATCCACTTGTATTACAAGATACAGACTGGTGGATTCTCCCCAGCCTTGCCACCAGAAACATTTAATGTGTACATTCAGGAGCTACTACACTGCTCTAGATGAACAAAGTGGTATCTGATCCGTTCTCTACATGGAAAAGCTTACCCAAATCTGAAATAAAATTACTGTGTAGAAGCAAGAAACAGCCACCTTTCTCTATTTAAAATAAATGTGTAGCTCAAAATTTTTCACCTCCACAACAAGAAGTCTCTTAACTCTGAGGAGAGTGCTCTGCACAACAGTATCCCCCTGCAAAACTTACAAACCCTAGGTACAAAATGAATGGACACTGATGGACATGGTGGGCACATATTCCATGGGGCTGTATTAAATTTTCATATTTATACAACATTGTGGAGCTCAGCCCTCACTTCCACATGCCACTAGAACTAGCTAGGAAAATAATCACTTGCCAGCATGTATCAATACACTGATTTTTTGGTCCTCCAAAAATTCAAGCAATGAAACATAGTAACTAGTAAGAGAACTACTTACAACAATAAGTATGATCACAGATATTGTGTAGTATACAGAATCCCGGAACACAGCCCACTGGGTGAGACAAACCACCTGAAAAATACCACACCTTCAGCTAACAAAAATATGGCATTTCAAAAACAAACAAAAAGGCCCCTATCTTAAAATAACTATTTAATAAAATAAAAATAGGCGTGTGAGCAGAGTAATTATTATTATAATTAGAAACAATTCTGAAACCAAATGCAGTTTTATGCCACCATGAAGAAGTACCAGTCTCAGACAATGGATCTATAATAAGCATCAGTAATAAAAATCATATAGAAACTTCGATTATTGAAATATATTTCTTACTAATGATACTTGATTTGGTCATAATTTCAATTGTAAAGTACAATTCATTGTACTGCAGCAAATCAATTGTTCCTCATCCCTTTTATTCTGTGGATATATTTGACTTAATACCTAAAAGAATATGATAAACAGTTTAACCATCTATTGAGTAAATGGAGAATCTCATGCTTGTGTCCCAGATTCTTTGACTGTACCAGGAAGGATCAGCAGATGCCACTGATCAGTTGACTGTAAACAGTACTGTATGAAGAGGAACCAGTCTCCTCTGTATGCTACATGTTAAGAGTGCTGACACTACAGGTGAACATTTTGGAAACATTCGCTATTTGTAAAGCATTTGCAGTCTTCCAATCCTTGAGGTTTTTCACAATGCCATTTTTGTCTGTGATTTTGCCTTTTTTCTTGTTTTTTTAATATATGCTCATGGAAACATCTAAATTGTAAGCAACTGAACTATGTAAAGACAAGTATCTTACTAACCTGTCCTGCAAACAGTCCACAGACACCAACAATGCAGAGGATGTTGAAAACTGCTGAACCAACAATGGTCCCAACTCCTACATCTCCATGAGTGATAAATACACCTGCAGAGGGAGCAAAACATACATAAATACCTCTGCCATTTAATTTCAGGTCACTCAGAACATGTACTACTTGAAAAGTAGAGACTGTTTCAAAGATTAACCAAAACATGTTTCATAATTAAGGGCCCCTCCTCTGTGTGATAACTTGTGCTTTTAGTCTAACTAGCAGCTCCCCAGCTGTGACTTAAAACCTTTACAGGTGTACTTTTAGTAAACGATTTCTCAGCTAGTTAGTTCAACAGTAAGTTCTCTGGTTCACAGCTTAGTTTTTAGCTGTGCAATAGTCCATTCAAATGAGCCTAAAACATCTCCATTTAAAGCACAGAAATCCTTCTCCAAGGTGAGCAACCAGATAACTTGACAAAGATACTTGATTGCTAAACAGAGCCTAAAGGCTTACACTCACTGCTTTTCAAGAAGTTGAATGTGAGGTTATTGTGCATTTCTTTGGACAGTATTTTCCTAAAGTTTGTAAAAATGTCAGTTGGGATAAAGCCTACAAGGGCTTCTATAAAGATTTATCAAATTTAGGCCACTGAGCTGCTAGAAAGCTACAACTTAGTTGCCATTACTGAAATTTGGTAGGACAAATGCCACAGCTGGAGTGCTGCTGCCAAGGGCTGCTGCAGAGGGACAGCTGAGGGCAGAGCAGCGGGGCGGCTGCCTCTGAGGAAAGGCTGAGCGAGCTGTGCTTGTTCAGCCTGGAGAGGAGAAGGCTCTGAGGAGATGTTGTTACTTTCAACACTTAAAGGGATCTTACAGGAAAGAGGAGGACAAACTTTTTAGGGCCCCTAGGACAAGGAGTTTTTAAACTGAAAGAGAATAGATTCAGACTAGATAAAAGGAATAAATGTTTTTAAATGAGTGGTGAGACGCTGGCACAAAGATGGCCCCACCACTGGAAACATTCAGGGTTAGGTTGGATGGAGCTCTTCGCAACCTGATCCAGTTGGAAATGTCACTGCTCCAGATGAACTAAATGTCCTTTAGAGATCTCTTCCTCTAGGTGGGGATTCAGGAGAGCAGGGTAGAGGGGCAGAATCACCACCCTCAAGCTGCTGGCCACACTGCTTTTGGTACAGCCCAGGACACAGTCGGTTTTCTGGGCTGCAAGTGCACGTTGGCTGCACAGTGACAGATCATGATGAGCTTCTCATCATCCAACGCCCCCAAGTCTTTCTCCTCAGGGCTGCTCTTAATCTATTTCCAAATATATCAAATTACTTCTCAAGGGACTTCAATAA